AAGTAGGTTTCCACGTAGAACTGTTGAGTTACTTGCTCTTTCATTGTACGCTGGTCAAGTGAGTATGATCTTGCTTTTGCTCAGCTTTGCTTTCAGTTCCATTTTCCTGACTTTCATGGTTGAGTTCCTCTATTGCAGTTCATCAGTATTGTCTGAGAACAGGATTATTTTGTCTGAGAACCAGATGCAGTTCACTTGATTTCTATTTGTGTTAAATTCCTGGATTGGTATCAGATTGAAAGTCATCAGATGCTTTTTAGTTCTGTTTGAAAGTGGTATAAGGAGGTGCTTATTTTTTTTTTCTGTTGATGGAGCAGAGGGACTATTTATTGTATAGGTTTTATTTAATTGATTTGAGCTGTGAATTATATGCTATGTATTTGTGGTATCAGAGTATTTCTCTGAGTTGTTTTCCTATGTAAATACTACAGAAACAGACTTTTAGAAATTCATAAACATTTTCTAAAATTTGTTTTGGATTAAAACAACATAATTTATTTTTCTTCCCTTTATGAAAACATCAATACTTCTGTATTGCTCAGCAAGTTTCAGAAGAGGAGACGAGGCTGTCAGTTTTTTTCACTGATCTCACAGGGGTTCAGTATCTCCCTTCATCTCAATTAATGTGAATTTGTATCTTTCTTTGGTTATTATAGGGATGAAGTTGTCTTTTTCTATGCAGTGTGAAGGATACCCAGAATGTCTTGTGCACTAAGCAGCTAAAAAAACATGCAAAAGCTTAGTGGTCTGTCAAGTGAAGATTTGTCACTTTGGAATTATGGCTATTAGAGAGCTAAGCATACAGGTTACTTAGTCGCAAGTCACACTCAAGAATCACTGTGGTGTGACAGACACTGAACAAACTTTTATATTGAGACTGAAGAGCTTCAGCATCATCTCAAAATAGCTTTATACTTTTCATGCATTTAAAGAGAAAAACCCTATCACCATGAGGGCTAAAAAGAATTCTAATAATGTAAGTAAACCTTGACTGTTTGTAAATATACTAGGCGGTAAAAATCTTCAAAACGAATGTGCAAATAAGTGTCTGCACTAAAGACTGAAGCCCATACGCAGCTGTCCTGAAAGGGAATGCAGGAGGAGTAGATTAGTCTGAAGAGTAATAATAGAAAAAGAGCCTGATATGCTATGGCATTTGGGGATTTGCATATATTGCATATTATTAGGTAAGAGCAATCATTTAACATCTGAAGTTAAGATAGAAAATGACTGTTGTGGGAAACAGCTAGCATATAGATAAAGGAAATCCATGGGTTGAGAAGTCTTAAACTTGCAAAGACTCATGCAAAATTTTAATTTTAGTTAATATCGTGGCTGGCTCACACTTTTGTTGGAAAAGAGCCCCATCAACTTTTTCAAATGGCTGAACAATTGATGTTTTACTCCTTTAACCACTTAGACCTACATCGTAAAAATTTACCATTCCATAAATATAGAGCTTGTTCTTCCACCACTTCAAGCACTGTTTAGAGAAAAGAAGAAATAGTTGTTATGGAGCAATATGAGTTTGTGGCACTTCTTTATGTTGGTGTGTTAGTACCTCTGAGGAGGACAATGCCATAACATAAGAAGTAAAGAACCAATATTCTAACTACAGAGAGGGTTTTAGATATCCAAAGACAGTGGAGTTGTTCTGCCAATTCTGGAGTTATTACGGTTTTCTTATATTTGTTGTCCTAATGGAAAAATGTTTGCTTTATTTGCCTTCTATTCTAAACAGTTAGTTAAGTGTTATGTTTGACTGCAGTTAGTTGCTGCATGGCTTGTGATTCTTTTCAAACTATTTTCTGATCAAAGAAACTAGTAACATTATAATTAAGTATAGTTACGAACCTCTGAATATGCTGTTTATCAGGGTTAAAACATATTCTTACTGATTATGCTCCTTACAGGCGTTGGAATTCTTCACTATAAATTATTATATTCTAAACAATAGCCTATGGGAGGATCTCTGTACAAGTTAGCAAAACACAGATTAAAGTGTAGTATAATTCTTATGAAAGGAGTTTTCTCCTCTTGGACCTGTATTAGAACCGCTGTTATAATCTCATTTTCCAAAATATAAATAATATTTAATCATATTTTAGAGCCTTTTTAAAACGAGAGTATTTTTCCAGTTGCGTGAATGGCATCCTTCACTCAGACAAATGACCTAAACAAAACATCAGGAAAAAAGCAACTTTAGGTTAGTGTTAGTCTACTTCCTAACAGGTGTGTTAAAGCAAAAGATGACCATCTGTGAGTCCCATAGTCTGAGTCTCTCTGTTGCAAGGAAGTCCGACTTTACTTTCATTGCTTTATTTTCTCCCAGTGAAGTGTATACTTACGGACTGATTTCTCAGGAGGGTTTGGCTGTTGTTTATATACCAGGCTATGAATTGCAACAGACAGTGCAATCAATGAAGTTATGGCAGCACAAGTAGTAAAATACTGTTTAACTGAACCTCAATGACTGATCATGTGTGTAATCTTATCCCACTGCTTAAATTGCCCATAACTAGTGTTTGGATACTGAGAGAGTCCTTGGTCATCTGCTATGAAAGGATGAGCTGTTGCTAGGAAACTGAAAGATGCTGTGTGCACACTCATTTAAAAAATATCTAGCCACCTGGTTGCCAAAGTGTGTACATGGTGTAAACAAATTCCAGACTCGGGTCCCCCTCATTTCAACTGGATGCAAGTGTATATTTTGTACATTTGTACAATGGGAAAAATCACTGAAGTATGTAGAATTTCTGCTGTGGAAAGAAAATACAGGTTCTTAAAACTTGGTAAAAGAGCAATAGAGGACAATATTAATTTTAGCATGGAATGGGTTTCTTTTCAGCTGCCACTTGCCTTTTTTCAGTGCCTTTCTGCCAGAGTTTGAGATTACACATAACTTTGTGGGGAAAATAAAAGACTTGTGTTACGGGTTTTATTAGTAGTCTTTGTATTTAAAAAAAAATTAAAAAATTTAAAATATGTTTCTAGAATCATGCTGGATGTCAAATCAGTGCATGTTGTGTGCTCAGTAAGCTAACTTCATTAAAGGTACAAGTGTGCTGTACCAAAAACAAAAGGAAACTGTTGCTAAACACCCCTAAACCAAAAAGAACACCATAGTGTCTGTGCCCTTTCCTGGGTTAAGAGGAAAAAGTAATTTTGAAAAATCTTCATTCTCCTCAATTTCCTTTGATGAGAGACCAATACCCCAGTAATAACTAGGAAATGTCCATTGACAAAAGTTGTTTTGAAAAGAAATTTAACGGTTCCTCTTAAGGAGCCTGTTAGTCTTGCTTATGTAAAGAGATAGTTAATGCTGCTGTGATGAGCAGCAATGGATCGATTATCCTTTCCCAAGGAACTCATGGAGAAGACAGTCAGTCTAGACATATTCTGTTATTATTTTGTGTTGCCTAAAAAGGCAGCTGCAGAAAAGACTGATTTGCTGATATTGGTCACAATCAATGGTAAAGGGCATGAAAAAACCAGCATACTAACGTAAAGAAGGAAAATATAACTATCTTGCTAATATACATTTAAGACAACGTGTTCTATCAAATGTTTTAAAACAACATGTCATAAGGAAGCAGCAGTGAAAACTACTTGTACAAAACATGGGGGTAAACAGGGATAGGTGCATAAGACCCTGCAGAGGTCAGTACTTCAGATGTTAGCATCTGGAATTCCAAGCATGGAAATACTGATGGTTGACATACTGAGTTAAATAAGTCAACTTGTAACTAAATGAGTTAATACTTAGTTAACTGAGCCTAGGCATTTAAATGCTTTTTTCATCTTGCTTTCCCTTCCAACTGCCTTCTGCAGGGCAGAGGTACTTCTTTTGGAGAAAAGAATTTTACATGACATGAATTGAAGTCCAACATGTCCATTCTTGAGACTGATCAAAAAGAGCCACAGGGCAAGGACTGCTAGTATTTTAGCTGCTTCCAGCTACTTTATGTATAATTCCAGCTACTATAGTAGACTTAATAGATGGTAGCAACTGCTAGGTAGATAAAACCCAATTTGGGAAATTCAGTAAGAATGTAGGTGGAGAAAGAATTAAAACTATCAAATAAAGTACAAATCTGGTTGGCTCTGTCAAAAGCTTGGGAACCACTTTTTCTTCTGACTGCCTGCTCAATGTGTTGTGCATCTTTGCCAAATATCACAGAAGGTTTGTCCCTGGAAAGGAAATAACATACAATATGCTAAGATGTGAATGGTGAAAGTGCTAAATATTTAAATTTATCTTGCTTTGGGAAAGTACTTCACATTGAAAACATCATTAACACTTAACAAAATCACCCCAAAATAAATTTTCCTGTCTTGTTTAATGTATGTAGCTAAACTGCAATGTATCTTTTAAAATTCTTTGGGGAAAAAAAACAAATCCCAAACCCTAAAACTTTCCTGTGCTTTTCTGAGGGAGTGCCTTTTTAAATAAAGTAGTACACTGAAGTAGGAGGGAGAAAAAAAATGAACACTCAAACTGGACATCTTTGATTCTATGGAATGCCTGTTTCCTAATCATTTTCCTTTAGACTTAGCACATCTTACTCCTAGTGATTAATCCCCTATGGGACTGCTTATATTCTAGAAATGTTCAGACAATTTGTTTCTGTAGGGGAAGTTACAATTTTTGCAGTATTTAACATGAATGCGGTTTATTACAAAGGAAATAGTGGCATTCTTTCTCCCATTCAGTCTTATTTGCCTGTATTCTAATTGTTTTAGCTAGAGGCACCTTTTTTAATATTTATATCAAGCTTCAATGTGTCTGGTAACAGACAACAAAGACACAGTAGGAAATCTGTTCTCCCTAGATATGTTTGCAAAGCTATGCATATGATTTCTGTTCACTGTGAAAGGAGAAATTAATCTGTATACTGTTTGGTTTGCAAATATAGAAAAAACAAATATTTTTTGTGTGGTCAATTGTTGTCAGTTATGTAGCTCACAAAAAAACATCTCTTTTTTTTTGTGTATTGCAGGTAGCATAGTGTACCTTGGGATGATGGTGGGGGCATTCTTCTGGGGCGGCTTGGCAGACAAGGTGGGAAGGAGACAGTCACTCCTTATATGCATGTCTGTCAATGGATTCTTTGCCTTCCTTTCATCATTTGTCCAGGGCTATGGCTTCTTCCTCTTCTGTCGCTTGTTTTCTGGATTTGGGTAAGCTCCTCTGGTTTTGTTCATTTCCACAATTCTGTGTGTTAATAAAACTTTACTGTTTGCAAAAGCATGTTATTTTAATGTAGAAATATAGTCTGTGTTGGGGGAGAGACTTAAACAAGATAGCTACTACACTCCTGAATAAGAAACAGAAGGAGAAGAACAATGATTTTAGGGGAAAGACACAGAATGCAAATTGTGAGATTGAATTCTGTTCTTATTTTGCGACAGACTTTCTTTGTAGATTTCATCAACTTGCTTAATTTTTTTATGCCTCAGCTTCTCTATGTATTGCTTGTTCAGTCAGCAAAATAATACAATCCTCACAGGTGTACTGTAAGATTTCAGTAATATTTGTAAAGTTTCTAATGTCTTTGTGTGCATAATATTGTTTATAATATGGCTGCAGTCAAGACTCATATTTAAAATGAGGTCCTATGGTGTGCCAAATATTATTACTTTCCAGAAGAATGGTGTTTGTGGCCCTGTGTTGCTTTACGTCACATTTAAGTAACTCCTCAGTTGTTGGAAAAGTTTAAGATATTCGTAATGGTCGATATAGTTTATAATTTTAAACTCACATGAGCAGAGATTGAAATGCATAAGTAAATTTCTATGAGAAAGCCTCTGCTTTTACTGCAGCCTGGGATAATCAAGAGCTCTGTTCCACAGAGCAGTTAGTTTCACGCTTCTGGTAAATGCTTGATTCAGATCAAAACTCTGAATTACAATTCCATTTCTAGCCACTATCAATCTTTAGGATGTTGAACAGACAGGAGCTGGTGAGAGCACAGGATGCTGTGCCATGCACATAAGGTCCACTGCTCGTATTATTTGGTGGTGGTAGTTTATGTAACCATAATGCATTAACACTGTTTTGTGTTGTTTGCAGTTTTAGAAACCCCTTGAACCAGTCTAAGTAGGGTAAGATCGGTCACCCATACCAAAGAGAAATTACCATATCACTAAGAACTATGAAACTGGTTAAGGAAGGGGGATGGAAGGGCAAGGAGAGACACGAAAGAGATGTGAGGAGTCCTCTTGCTAGAAGAGTCTCCTTAGTCTGTCACCAAATTGTCAGATATGACTTTAAAAGAGATCAAGACAACATATCAACTGTTCTAGTTCTTAAAAAAACTCATAAAAAAGCTTTTTTGCTTTAAAGAGTCCCATCCAACTTCTTTACATGTTTTTCATATCATAGGTCACCAGCAGTTCCAGGTGTTGTGTTTTGTCTCTCCATAGAGAAAATTGATCATGTTGCATGACACTTTCTCTCTTCCATGATCCTGTCAAAGTCCAGAAGCTTCTGCTATTCCTGCTTAGCCTACCCAATTCATGGCTACTGGACCTCTGTGCTGCAAAGGTTTGTCTTTTAGCTGACCAGATTTGTGACGCTGTTGGCATTCGCCCAGATTGTCCCTCTTGGGTCATACGGCAAAATATGTATTTGTCATGCCTCATGCCAAACTTGCCTGCGGGGTCTCCTCCTCACCTGCACAGTAGCTTTTCCAGTAACACACAGTGCCTGTAGCTTTACTCGTGATAGATGTATGTCCTGGATCGGAAAACATGTTTTATTGTGTATCCAGTTTAAGATTAATGGTCTTTGAAGAAGTAGGCCCTTCATACCGGTATCAAATACCTCTGCATGGGTCCCTGTTGTGTCCAAAATCCTCCTACCTCATCTTTGAGAGCTGCAAGAATAGATCATAGATAATTTGCCGCCATGTTCTACATTTTAAATGCAAAAAACCCCGAAGCAAAGAACAACAACAACAAAAACCCAAGACAGCATGAGCTGCATAGTCATTCCTCATAGCAATTACTGCAGAGAAAGATTAATGGCTGGCTCACATTGGCTGTTTTCTTCAGAGGCTAGATTTCTCCACAGAATAACCTTCAGCTGGTATCAGAGTTACATCATAAAAGCCACAAGGTTTCTAGAACTGAATCTGTGCTTCATATGATCAAGATGAAGGAAAGCTCCTCCTTTTTCTGTTCTTACTGTTTGCCTGCGATGATGCAGTTTTTTCCACCTGATTTTGCGTGTTTGGAGCCCTTTTTTTTCATCTGCTCACTTGTTCTCAGAGAAGGCTTACTTTTCACTTAAGAGCCATATTCAGGGTGGTATTTGTGTCACATCTGCCTTTCCTCTGTTTTTTGATCTCATGTTGAGAGGAGCTGTAATAGCAACAGACATATCCTATGCCAAGCACCAGGAGTGAAGGGAAAGGCTAGAACATTCCAGCTTTAGAGGCAGCAAAGTAAAATCCTTTCACTTTTAAACAGCTAGGCACAAATATACCCACTGTTAGAGCGTGAATCTTACAGGTCTCTGTTTCCAGATACTTTGCATCGGTTGCTGTGCAAGAAAGAAAACTCTTTTTGGTATCACTCACTAAAGAACTCCCAGGAGTTTTTCTCAGCTTTGAAGCTGTATCTTCTTGCAGTATGACAGGAAATTTGCTTGAGTTAGAACTTGAACATTTATTGCATTCTTTACTACATCCCACGTCTTGCTTGAATGAAAGACAGGTTGTGTGAGTTGAATGGGAATAGAAAATCAACTTCATTTGTCTTTGTAACCTCTCCTCATTTTAGAAGTCCTGTCTTTGGAGAGTAGATGTAAGTACCCCTTTCTTAGTGAAGAACACTGAGTATGTCTGACTACATATCTGTGTTACCAAGGGAGCAGGCTTTGTTACAGTAATTTTGCATAAATCAAAGAGCCTAAATATGAAATAGGAATAATTTTAAACAAAAACCTGAATTATATGTGTGTAAAAGCAAAATAACATTGTTACTTACATTGAAGAAGAGCTTTTTGAAGGGGAAAAATTTCCAGATTTCATATATTTAAAAAAATACAAAAATTTTATATAATTAAAAGTCAATAAAATTATAAGAATTATTAAAATATATAAAATCATTTATGTAACTTATCTGTTATCTTCTACATAAAATAAAAATAGATTAAGAAGCATGAAAAATAAAACCAGTATCTCATAGAAGATTTCATTTATAAAAATTGCTATAAAATTGATTCTTCACCAATTCTCTTGCAGTCAAAATGTGTTTATAGAAGTAAATCACATAGGGGAAAAAAACCCTTCAAATATTTTTTCTTACCCAAAGCTAGCAAAAATTTTGCATGCAAAAATTATTTGGAATATAAACAGTGTATATAACACTAAGATATTGCTGTGTAAAGGGCATTGAGGGATATGAAAGTCTGAAAGATGAACTTAAGCTAGTGAAAAGAATAAAGAAATATTGGACAGTCTGCAAAATTGTTTCCTTTTATGGAAAATAATATCATAACTGTGATTCTTCCATTGATTAATTCAAAATCAAAACTAAAAAGGAAATTGAATCCAAAAGCCTGATAAAGGCCTAGAAGGGCTTTAGACATGGTTTCTCACAAAGTAAAAAGACCTAGACAAGTAACTCTGAGCTGTATTTATTATTAGCCACTGGGGGAATGTGAAAAGATTTATCATCAAAAAGTACCTTGTTAGATCTGTCTTTGAAATTGTCAAAGGAAGGTTTCTCTAATACTAGAATATGACTCATAACATCGCTGCTAACTTGAATGGAACTGGAGCTGTTGCTTATTCAACACTACCACAGTGAAGTATTATTCTCAGCTAGAGAATTTGATCTAATCTCTGTTACAAAAAAGTATTTATGTAATCTAAACTATTAGTTTACTATTTTTCATAATTTTAGATAATTTTAGATGCAGTTTTTCTAAGTGCAACAATTCATTTCAGAATAAAGTGCTCGAAAATGCACTATGTATTTGTATTATCCCAGCAAATTTCATTTTGGTTGCTTTGAAATAACCAAAGATGATATAATTTGGGAACCTGTATTATTCTTATCCAGACCAAATGTTCTTTCTAAAAGTAATCAAAGTTTTCAGGCAGTAAAAAGCTAGCTGAAATAAATTTTTGAGGTGAACTACAGTTTAGAAATTCTTCAACCAACCTCCTGGGTGTTTGCTCCCAGATGAAACTGACTCTTTCATGAGCAAACTAAAAATAGCTAAATAATTTTACAAACTTGGAATTATGTCCAGACTACAGAGATTTCTTTTGATTTAGCAAAGTTGCCAGTTTGGCCCAATTTCATCTCCAAACCCACAGAAATATTAGGAAATACAGCTTAGATGTGGTTACCTTATGTAACTAAGCTATTAAGCAGCACTTTCTCTGCCCATTGCTCCTTGTGGATAAAAATCTCTCTCAAGATGTACTATCATGTAGTGTTTGTTTCCCAAAAGACTTTAGACTATATTTCATTAAATCTGAGACTCACTTTCAGACAGATTTCTTAACCCTTCCTCAAAAAATATCTCTAAAGCTACCTGCAGTACTTCCACATTTCTGGGATCTGCCATAGAGCGCTGGTGTCACTAAACTCATCATTTAGGCCTTTTCTCAAATTCTTCATGCTCTTGTAAGGAAATAAAAGTTAGCAAAAATCCAAAACTGTGGATTAAGTATTTTGTAACTAGCAGTTTTGAGGTGATTGCCTGTGCAAATCATGCAGATTTTTACCATCACTATTGTAGGTTGTGCGTAGTGGCAAGAAACTCCGTCCCCTTTCTCTTAACAGCCAAGACAGGAAGGATATGCAAGCAGTCCATATGCATAACAACTGTAAGAATGTTCCAGCAGAGATATGGACTATGTGGACACAGCACAGGATGATTTCCTACACAAGCACTTGCCTTCAGAAACGTCAGATCTAGACCAAGAGGCTGCTTTTATAATTATGTGTCATCAGTATTTAGTATTGTGTTGTATTTATCTTTTAACTCTTCATACCCACTTGCTCCACTTCCTCTCATGAAAATCCTTGTGTCCTCTAACCCTCAAAAGGTTGTAATCCTGCTGCCTGTAATTCCTTTCCAGCTCCCAGATGTCTCCTGTCCATATCTATCCATGTTTTTACCCTGTGAGCTAATGAATAGCTCTGCAGGTAACTGGCTG